CCCCCCCCCCCCTTACACGCTACAGACAATAATACTTTTATATTTACTTTTTACTTCAAGTATTTTTTAAAGATACTTTGTACTTTTTACTTAAGTACGTTTTGCCTCCAGTACTTTTTACTCTTACTCAAGTTGTTTTATTGTTAATTACTTCTACTTTTACTCGAGTACAAATTCAAAGTAATTTAGGCACCACTGCATGTATGTACGAGTGTCGTATTTTTCAAGGCGTGTCCATTTATAATAACAAGTTATATATGCAGTGGTGTAGAACTGACTGCTAACAAGGGGGGAGGGGGCAGCGCTCTTTAAGAGGGCGCGGTGAAAAGGCGTAAAGGGGACGTGCAACATGGAAAGTTCTAATATTACAATTAGTGTTCTTTGAAGAAAGGACTCAACTTGAAATAAAAGATTCGAATATACCTAAGCTATTTAGCTAATGTTACAGCCACATAAGTAATCATCATAATCAAGGACAAATTACTAAAATCATTAGCATATCATTTCAACACTACAGTTGCAACTGAGAACATTCCAAGTTATGATTCCTCCAACAAGAGAAGGCTCAGCCTTCTCACCCGTTACACCCCATTCAGTGCATGGTAAGATGAAACGTGCCTAGGGAGTATCTATTTGGAGTGGGGAGCGAGTAAAAATAGCGGGTAATTTAAAAGAAGCGGGTAATTTCCCCAGGAGCTAAGCGCCAGTGAGGAATTTAAAAGCAAAAACATTTTATGAAAGTGTAAACAACATGAGGGCCAATTTTTACTAAGTCAAACCATTGCACTTCACACAAAAAATCTCTTCATAAAAAATGTTAAATGTCAAATAACGAACCCAACAAAATTTACAGATATTTAACAGCCTGAATGCATGTCTTACTACGACGTGCTGAAAATACGTACACACTAGCGCAAAGTTTTTGGGTCACCAAATATGGACAAAAAATTATTATAACACAAGCTAGTGCTACTCAAAAATCTACAGTCTGTCTCGGCCATTGCCTCTCCAAACTGCGGGTTATGTATCACTAACTCGATAAAGCAAAGCAAACTATAAACCATTTTTTACTATAAATTTATCCGAATTCAAATTTTCCGGATGTTTTTAGCCACCCGGTTTCTTATGTTTTAAGCGTATACTCTGTGTTTGGAAACTTTTGCTCTAGTGTACATGTATGGTCTAAAAATGTTTATATATGCTACGCCACTACCAGCTTCTGAACAACATTCGAAAAGTCATCGAAAACTGTGCAATAATAAATTCGATGGTGTTCTGTAAACCTAAACCCTAACCGTGCAAACCATGTTCAATATGTTTATAGTTTTCTGATCCTTATAAAATTATTAAAGACTTACTATACCCCCACTAAATGGTTCTTACTAGATCTTTATGTGAATGCTTCTTTGGAAAGCTTGTATAGACAGGAAAATAACAGAACTCATAGTATTAGATAAATGTTTACTTGTTTCACTAAAAATAATATTATTTGGGATTAGCAACAAATGAACGTCGTTCACATGCAAGCATTCTGCGCTGCCCCACGAGCCAACGCGGCCAAGGCCCCCCCCCCCGTTCCGCTTCCCTGGTTCGATTCAGTGCATGGTAAGATGAACGTGCTGCGCGCTTCGGCCAACTGTCTTGTACACACGATCTTGTACAATGTTTGGACTCTGCGGTAAGATGAAACGTGCTTAGAGCTTGGGCCACTTGTCCTTCGTAGTGTATAATTAAAATATATCTTGAAATTTATTGACAAACTTTCATTTATATGTCTCATGATCCTTTTCTCAAATTGTTTTCCAAAATTGCAAAATAATAACTGTATTTTGTGGAGCTTTAAAAATGCCATCTTTATATACTGCGGGCGTAGTAAATTTTAAAAATTATAACAATCCTTTATTGCGCGTTTTAAGATACAGGCATCGATATGTTCTCAATTTCAGAAACATGACATGAAGTATAATATCCTATCCTATATTGTAGTTTCTTTATGGGCCAGACTATTTATCTTTATTCAATTTTGCATGTTCTCCTGTTCATAAACGAGTTATTTGTTCTATATTTGTTCAGAACTCCCCAGAGGCAATTTATTAAATAAAACTTTGTGAAAAGTGCGTCATGATAACGCGCACCATACTTAGGTATGTCATTATACTTCATCACAGATTAAATTTCGTATAAATATTTTGTATAAATCAGGTAAGAATGGCTTCAAGTTTCTTTCTGGTGATATACATGAAGGCATTTATATTTAGATGTGCTGTTTAGCATTCGATATAGAGGTATTGAAACATATGATTTCATGAATTTATCGACGGTAGTTTTGTCTATTCGTTTGAAAATGTACTTTTAGTTTATTTGTTTGTGTGGCGATGTGCCAACTGCCAAGACGATGAGTTTATAGTGTTCATTCTAGATGCTTATAGCAATGTGCTTTCAGGCGTAAGGCGTTTCAGCACGTTTTAAAAACAAACGCGGAGTCGCGGACTGTTAGTGTTACTTGTGCAGGCTTATTAATATTAAGATTCCAATAGCAACCCAGTATGGGGATTGTTGTCTGTATATATTAACTTACCAGTAGTTGATTTAATGATTTAATAAGATTCGGCTACTATTTAAATACAACACATAGAGCCAGGAAATTCGCCTCAGGTTTCCCCAATTACGGCGATCCCATATAAACAAGAATTAAATTACTGTACAAAACAAACACAAAAACACAAATTTTCAAGCAACTTAACAAGCTAAAACTAATAAGGCTAATAACGGAAACTTATTACATTGTTAAGCGATCTTGCTCTTTTGCACTTTACACACACTGATTTCCAGGTGCGCGGATCAACACATTTGAAAGTTTTGGATAGTGCATGTTTGTAGTAGAGTTTAAGACCTGATTTAAAAGACAGCAAACCTATATCTCTAGTACGCAAGTTACTATTTAATATGTTCCACGTGAATATAAATAAATATAAAGTAATATAATAATATAATAATATAATATAATAATATAATAATAATAATATATTAGTATAATTACATAGGTGATTATTGAAAATTCTCCACGCTAATTGGTTGCCGTTGAGGTGATTATTACGCGATAATCACCTAAGCGATTTTCAAAATGGCGGCAGCAGCCATTTTGTCAATTAAATGACGAAGAAATGTGTATTTTTTATTTTTTTCCAAATAATCACCTATGAAATTATACTAAAACAATTATTCACCTCAGGCTCGGTGATTATCGTGAATAAAAACCTCGACTTCGTCTCGGTTTTTATTCACCGATAATCACCTCGCCTTCGGCGAATAATTGTTAAGTAATAATAATAATAATATAGTAATATAATAATATAATAATATAGTAATAATAATAATAGTTATATAATAATATAGTAATATAATATATATATATATCTATATATATATATATATATAGTTATACATGTAAATAGCATGTCAACAGACTTTTGGTACAAGGTATGATGCCTGATGGCTTGTTTATATCTCTGAGACATGTCCATTGTTAACATAATATGAAATAATCCGACCGGTCTACTCATATATTCACCTGGCTGTGTCACTACATTTCCGGGCATGCTATATTTTTCGATAATGCTTACAATTTCTTTCTTATTATATAGTTTTGCAGTTCTGACTGAGTACAATCTCTGACTTAGTGCAATGAATGGTGTCATCTGAAGCTGACGTATATTAATTAAACAAAAATGTAGATTTTACAAAACAAATAGATTTTGTCTCCCCACCAGGTTGTTCTGCGATAGGGGTAGCCTTGACGGTGCCATGTAAATGATACTTGTTGTTACTTGTGTCGTCAAAAACCGATTTAGTATTTCTATATATGTAATTTGATATTATAAGGTATTCAGTTGCAAGCTAGCCATGACAACTGGTCATGATATACTAATAAACCTGCATCACTTGAATAATGCAAATAATTAAAAATTTGCATAGCATGCTATGGCTAGCTTTGCCACAGACAGTATTATATAAGTAGTATTTAAAACGAGAGGCGCAGCCGAGCGTGAATCGTGCCCGCCTAACAACTCGTCAGGGCCGTAGCTAGACGCGATAATTTGGGGGGAGGGGGCGGAGGTGTATATTCATATTCACATTCCGAAAAAACAATCGCTTTCAAAAGAAATCCGTCGGGCAGAACACAAATATATGAATATGCACCCCCTCCCCCAATTATCAGTCTAGCTACGGCTCTGCATCTCGTCCTGCCAAAGCGGATCATATAAACAGCCTTACAGCCCCTTACTCAGCAAATTCTGCATGCTGCCTTTGATTGGGGGGGGGGGAGGCAGCACTTTCCTTGCGATAGTAACTCCTAGTATTACACTATTAAACTATAGAATGGGTCGATTCCCTGCACAGCATGTACATGCAATAAGTAGAATTGTCGTTGATTTTCTCCTTTGCCCGTGAACTTTTACCAGGATTTAGGCTAGAAATCCTGTTGGAATTATCCAGACTCTGCTATATATATAGAGGTGGTCTGCCTCTAAGAAGTATATATTTCATAGAATTTCCACCCAGCAAAATCCTGGTTAACTCAAGAAATATTTCCATGTATGCATGAGCGGTGTATTTATCAAGGCGTGTCTACTTATAATAACAAGTTATATATGCAGTGGTATAGAACTGAAAGGCTATAACAAGGGGGGGGGGGGGGG